TTACTTGAATCTTTCCGATTCTCGGAGTGGAGATCCCACTCTTAGTTTCATCATTTCGGATTCTGGGGGTGGAGATCCCACCTTGAGTTTCCTTTCCAACTGAAGATAGAATATAAAATTCTTCCTCTTCGGTGCCGGGAGATAGAATATAAAATTCTTTCTCTTCCATTTTGGGTTCGTCTTTACCCTGAGAAAAGACACAAATTTTAACTTTAAATTCGTACATTCCATGCACGGGGAATTTTATCTCAACTCCTAAATAGAGATAAGCCTACGCCTAACACGCGTTGCCGGTTTAGTCTTTCACCGATTGAAAAAGACACCAGAGTATAATTCTGGGGACTTTCATCCCGAATCCTAAGTAGGGATGAGTCAACGCCTAATACGCGTTGCCGGTTTAGTCTTTCACCGATTGAAAAAGACACCAGAGTACAATTCTGGGGACTTTCATCCCGAATCCTAAGTAGGGATGAGTCAACGCCTAATACGCGTTGCCGGAAGCCTTGTTCCCGTAAGAAATGGCAAAGTCTATGTATTCAAAATCATAGCATTAAGTCTAAGAGAAGCAATTCTCTTAGCACAACGTTACATGTGAAACGGGTTTTAATAATTCACATGCTAGCCCGATTCAAATGGTAATCGGTAAAGGCACGTCAAACCCGTTGATGGCTGGGGGGTTGCCAAGCACCAGGGTCTAAACCTGGGGAATTTTATCCCGAATCCTAAGTAGGGATAAGTCAACGCCTAACACGCGTTGCCGGTTTAGTCTTTTACCGATTGAAGAAGACACCAGAATTCCAGTCTGGGGAATTTCATCCCGAAGCCTAAGGAGGGATGAGTCAACGCCTAACACGCGTTGCCGGTTTAGTCTTTTACCGATTGAAGAAGACACCAGAATCCGAGTCTGGGGATTTTTATCCTGAATCCTAAGTAAGGATAAGTCAGCGCCTAACACGCGTTGCCGGGTAGTCTATTCCCGTGAGAAAGATGAAGTCTACGTATTCAATGTCGTAGCACTAAAAGAGTTAACTCTTTTAGCACAACGTTATGTGCAGAACGGATCTAAACAATCTGCATGCTAGCCCAACTCAAACGGTAGTCGGTAAAGGCTCATCAAACCCGTTGATAGCTGAGAATTTGCCAAAAATTCTATAAGTGCGAGTCATTGATGCATCAGCTCTGTTAGTTGGTCTCGTGACTCGATTATCCGACAACATTAAAATAAGATCCACAAATGCAGATGAATCAGCTTTAACAGTTGGTCTTGCAACTCCGACACTTGGGACTGCCGTGCTCCAATACCTTAAGAGCTTAAACTGTGTATACTCCAGTAAACGTACGAGTATAAACTATGTCAACGTACGACGTTCGAAACCCTAGGGTCAACGTCGGTCAACGCGTAACCCTAGGTCAACGCCAGTCAACGCGTTGCGACCAAAAAGTCAAAGTTCGACGTTCGAAACCCTAGGGTCAACGCCGGTCAACGCGTAACCCTAGGTCAACACCAATCAACGCGTTTCAACAAAAAAGTCAATGTTCGACATTCGAAGCCCTAAGGGTCAACGCCAGTCAACGCGTTGCGACAAAAAGTCAACATTCGATGTTCGAAACCCTAGGGTCAACGCCGGTCAACGCGTAACCCTAGGTCAACACCAGTCAACGCGTTGCGACTAAAATGTCAACATTCGACGTTCGAAACCCTAGGGTCAACGCCGGTCAACGCGTAACCCTAGGTCAACGCCACTCAATGCGTTGCGACAAAAAGTCAACATACGGTGATCTGAAACCCTAAGTCAGCACAATGTGATAGAGATAGTCAGTTCAAAGTCAACTCAATGACACGAGCCAAACTCAACTCACTGGTAGTAGACTCGAGACTCCGACGATGGCCAGGCGATAAACGCAACGCCGGAAGGACTTCGGCTATTTGTCAAAGCATTAAATAGACTGAAAATCGAAGAAGCCAAGAGTTGAAGCTAACTACAGGTCCTTTACACCGACTGAAGGCTGGACCAATCACATCCAAAGTATTCCAGCCTCTTCTATAAAAGAAACGAGTCTGGAACGCTTTGAAAGGGGTATCTGTAGGCATCAAAAATTGCCTATAGGTCTCCACGAACGGCTTAGTGTTAAGGAACGACGATGAACGTCACTATCCGGTTCACAGGAGTTCGATTGATGTCGATGAACGCTTAAAGTAAATCGACGAACTACGTGAACTAACAAAGGTACGGGCTAATCGGGAGCCCCGCGATGTTTATAAAAGGAACAATGACCTTCGTGTCTCATTCATTCTACAGATGATCCAACCATCAGAGCTGATAGAACCCCTTGTCGGCTTTCCAACACACTTCGAATCACTCAAATCTGAGTTCGGACGAAGGAATTATGGCGGAAACAGATAAATACACCATATGGAGTGTCTCGGACCAACGAGACACCCTTCGGTGTCTCGGCTAAGGCCGAGAAGACACCCTTGGGTGTCTCGGCCAAGGCCGAGACACCCTAGGGTGTCTCGGATCAATGGGAGACACCCTATGGGGTCTCCGATCAAATGGAGACACCATGGGGTGTCTCCAAGGCAGATTTGGGCCTTTAAGTGTTTTTAACCGTTCCGTTATCCCCTCAAGCCTATAAATACAAGCCTTAGGCCTTATTTTTCATGATCTGGAATTCTCGTGCCTCGGCGAAGCCCTGCCGGATTGAAGACTTAAAGTGCACAGATTTCAGAGAGGAGGAGGAGTAGAGATCTGATCAAGTTCGTCGGCATAAAGAAGAGGAGCTCGTCAGATCTGTAATTTCCCGGATTCGTTCCTTAGGATTATCCCGTTGTGGTAATCTTAAGAAGAGTGATTATCTCGCTTCGCCGAGATAAGAGCTACGGTTTCTCGATCCCTTCACGGATAGACGAAGCTCTGCCCAATTTTTCAGCAATCAGATCTGATCGACGGTGGTCCACGGATAAACCCCGGCATAGGCAAAGATCCCACGCAAGCAGAAGACCGATAAACGATCTCTGCGTTTGTTTGATAAAGTTGTAAACTTTTTTTTGTTTTCATTGTGTAAAAGTCTTATAAAAAGACTGATTTTTGTATTCGTTGTAAATGTCTGAAGTTTGTAATGAATATCGCAATGAAACAAGCAACTTTCTCCGCAAACAATAGCTTACATGAGCATCATGTTATTACTTACATGTATGCCATGTTATAATCTACATAAGTGTCATGTTTGAGCATCATGTTATTACTTACATGTATGCCATGTTATAATCTACATAAGTGTCATGTTATAAAACTCCTGTGAGAAAGTTTTATTACTTACATGTATGCCATGTTATAATCTACATAAGTGTCATGTTATAAAACTCCTGTGAGAAAGTTATATACAGGGTTAAGAAATATGTCTGATACAGGAACTAGATACTATGGTTTTCCAAACACATGGAATAAGTGGCAAGTGTCCAACACGAGGACAGAAATGGATTATAGTCCAACACGAGGACTTCTATGGATTATAGTCCAACACGAGGACTGTGTAACTGTGAAAAGTATATGCGGACTGATATACATATTCTATACTCACATGCGTCTCGGTGTACATGTCTAAACTTGTGTCAAAAGTCAACCCACATGTACAGATAAATCATTAACATGTAAACTAGGATCAGGTTATCGAGGCGACCCCGAAAAGCAACTCAAACAGATCTAAAATCTATAAAACACCTCATCAGTCGACTAATATGTCGACTGATGACGTCAGTCGACTCATATGTCGACTGATAAGGCTCAGGCAGCACAGCCTCAGCTTACCAGTCGATTGATAAGTCGATTGAGAAGCTGAGAAAACAAAATCTGCCCGTCAGTCGCCTGATCAGTCGACTGATGACTAAAAATTTGCCCGTCAGTCGACTGATCAGTCGACCGAAAGACTGCAGAAACTCTGCACAGGTTGCTATTTACACAAAAATTCAATCTAAACTCATCCCTATCAATCCCAAGCATGAAAATACTGATATTAACATGTATGAACTAAACTGAAACAAAAATCCCATATGTGAATACATAAACGAAAACCCTAAACATGTGTATTTATTTTTAAACATTTTTAAAACAAAACTCATGTTAAATCTCATGTTAAAACAAAACTCATGTTAAATCTCTTATACACACATTTTAGATCTAGATCTTTTTAATAAAACATTGTTAGTCCTTTTATAAACTGAGATGCTCAATACCCCACCTCATATACCATAAAGATTCATTCTTTGTACTAAAAATACGTTTTTGGCTAAATCAAAACTCATTAAACTCAATAAATCCATGTAAAACAAAAGGGACAGAGTTGGGCGAGATGTTACTCGCCTCTGGGTGATGAACAACTCCTGGATCTGAGAGAGAGTGGATCCCCTTTGCTGCAATGTGAAGATTTCGATGAAAATCCCCCAAGTTCTTCCCCAAATCACCAAGAACAAGGCTAGGGTTTGAGATAGAGGAGAGGGGGCTAGGGTTCTCTCAGATCTGAAGATGAGAGGGGTGAATTCGGGTGAAAAAGAATATATATGAACAGCTAAACCCGACCCAAACCCGAACCAAAACAAAACAGACCCGAAACCTGTAAAAACTAGAAATCAGCTTATCAGTCGACTGATGTGTCGACCGATACAGTCAGTCGACTGATGTGTCGACTGATCTGGAAAAATTCAGTTTTTTTGTGCATGTTTTGCTAATTTGCAAAACAACGCACAAAACTCTACACCCAAACTCTTATATCATCTCAAATAACTTATTATCATGTATATCAATGACCTCAAGCTATTTATCATAAAAAAATTATTTATTTACTAATAATTCACATATATTCATATAAAAATTTTGAGGTTCTACACTTATACCATAGGATGTATCAAGAAGGGTCCCTTCTTAAAGGTGACCAAAGTATGCCACGTACCACTATCACTAGGCAAGACTTATAGTGATTATGTTTCTTGTGATGTTGTGGATATGGACGTGTTCCATGTATTGTTGGGATGGCTGTGGCAATATGATGTTGACGCTACGCATGGCGGTAAGAAGAACGAGTACTCTTTTGTGTGGATGAATAAAAAGATCATCCTACCACCTATTCAACCCTCTCCAAAGAGTCTCAAAGATCTAAAATTCAAACGTATATCTCTTTGTAACAAGGGAGAGTTTCTGGCCGAGTCAAAGAAGTTAAAGCAGAGGTTTGCCTTAGTTGTAAAAGAAGAAGTGAAGACACTCACTAAAGTCTCATGGAAGATGAAGTCACTTCTTAAGGAGTTCGAAGTGTTGATTACTGAAGAGCTCCCAGAGGGTCTACCTCCCATAAGGGATATTCAACACCATATTGATTTCATCCTGGATTCAGTACTTCCTAATCTCCCAAATTATCATATGAACCCGCAGGAAAGAAAGGTTTTACAGGATGCCATTGAGGACCTTATTAAGAAAGGCCACATCTGAGAGAGCATGAGTCCATGCACAGTTCCAGCACTGTTGACACCAAAGAAGGATGACAGTTAGCTATTAACAAGATTACAATTCGCTACAGGTTCCAATCCCTCGCTAGATGACATGTTAGATCAGTTGGGAGGTATGAGCGTCTTTTTGAAAGTCGACTTGAGGAGTGGATATTGTTAGACCCTAGAGGGGGGGGGGGGGGATTCGGGGGGGGGGGTGATTAGGGTCTTATGCTAATCTAATCCGATTAAATACCAATTAAAACTAATAACAAAATATCCTAGCAAGAATAAAATGTAATAAGATACATTAGCTAGGATAAGGCAATATGAACAAATGAATATATCCTATCAATGAGATATTACAAGTATATGAGCAAGGATATATAAACTAACACAAGGGTAAAATAAACAATCTACACAAGTGATAGGGTAATATGAAGAGCAATACACAAAGGCGATATAAGATATGAAAACAAGAATAAGAACGCCAATGCAATCACAAACAAAACGATATGATCACGGAGTTCGGTCCCCACGACCTACGTCTCCGCTCCTCACCTCGAGGAGATCTCCACTATCACAACCGGGTTTTCTATGTTTACCCGAACAACGTTTACACCTCACAATATAATCACTATGCAATCACACTTTACACACTAAGTGTTGGTCCTAGCCCGTGTCCTCCTCCTCAAGTGCTCGGTTACAACCTCTCCCTAGGCACGTCAACCGACGCCACTACTCTTGGAATTGACCCCGTCTCTCACCACACACTCCTCTCAGTGTGCAAGTGTATTACAAAGTGTATATCACAAATAAGCACAATAACAAATGGTTTGTTATCTAATACAAGATAAGAACTAAGTGTAAGCTCACTCAATCACACCCACAACCTACCACACACTTCTCTCGGTGTACAAGTGTATTACAAGTGAATCCTCACAATTAAGCATAATATAAATCAATTTGATTGTTCTCTAAACAAGGTGAGAACTCAATTAAGCACAACTCTTAGTCATAAACCCACAACCCCAAATTATACTATGAATGTAAATACACTAAGCTCAATAGGTTGTGTGTGAACAAAGAGTATCAATAAAACGATTAAACTAAACTCAATATAAATCTAGCTTATGGAAATTATAATCAAAATAATAAATTGCTAGATGAGTTTAGAAACACTTCTCTAAAGATGACAAGAGAGTAGGAGAAGAGTGAATGCTCAAACAACAAAGGATGATCTCCACTGGCTCTTGTGAAATTGAATTCACAAACTCAAACCCTCAATTGCTTAAAAGCTTCTTAAACCAAACTTAAACAAACACTAAACAAGTTTAAACCCTTATTAAACTATTTTAAAACATTCTCATCTATATTTGAAAGAAAACAGCAAATGGGTATTTATACCCACTCCAAAACTCAGCCAAAACCCAAAACAATGACAAAAAAAAGCCCAGCCAACGGTAACACAAATAGCCTTGGAAAAGTCGGACAGAGCGGCCGTTCAATCGGAAATTCTCGCAGTCGGACCGCGATCCAGGTTCAACGAGAAACGCCACAGAGAGTCGTCGGTCGACCGACAAATATCGCGACCAGCGGTACCTTTGATTGTTTGTTTCTTTTCTTTTGTTTTATAGCAGATCATATCGATTTTATAAAATCGGTTAAATAGTAAACAGCTCCAAAATTATGAAATTTTGAGGGAAGGTTCTAGACATGTAGAATAACATGTTAGAGAAAGAATTTCTGAAAAATCATTTTCCAGTTGAGAGAAATAAATGTTTGAACACAGAAATATAGTTTCTGAAAATCTGCTGTGATACACAATTTTGTAAAATCAATTAGGCACAGTAAATCAACTCCAAAAATATTAAATTTTTTAGAGAAGTTTCTAAACATATAGATAAACATGTCAAAGAAAGAATTTCTTGAATATCACTTCCCATTTATGAAAACTCATCGGTTTTGTAAAAACATGCACGAACATGCACGAATGAAAACATGATTTTGTAAATTCCATTAAACATAACAAATCAATTCCAAACTTGATGAAACTTTGCGAAATGTTTGTAAACATGAAAACAAACATGTTAGAAAAAGAATTTCTCAAATTGAAATTTTTATTTGTGAAAACTTATGTATTTTGTAAAACTTATAAATACATGTGTACATAAACAACTTTACCATATGAAACCAAACATGTATATATATATATGAATATGTATTTGTTTCATATTTAAACTTAAAAGCCAAGAACCAAAACTTGTGTATATATATATAACTATATATATAAGAACAAAATATGTGTGTGTATATATGATTGAGCTTAAAGTATTAACACACATAATATAAAACCTAAACTAAATATACCCAAGCTTGATGAAGGTCTTCAATGAGCATGACTTGGTAAACTTTGCGGAAGAAGCTTGTAATTGGATCTTTAACTTGAATTGACGTTGCTTCACTCCACAATTCCGCCAACCTCTATTTGATATGATCGTTAAGGCTCGATTCCATCCATCCTCCAACTCGTTATTTGCCTAGAATAAATACGAAAACACAAACACTAGACAAACAATATTACTTTAACTTTGAATTGCAAGGCTTCACCGACATTCCGCCAACCTCCTTTGGATATGATCGTTGAAGCTCTATTCCATCCATCCTCCAACGACGTTGTTTGTCTATAAAACATAGGAATGCACAAACACTAGACAAACAACATTAGTAATAAATTGTTTGTTAAACATCATCAAAACAAGAAGGCCAACAATCTCCCCCTTTTTGATGATGACAAACAATTTACAAAACGAAGTATATGCATGAAGGAAATGAACATATACAAGATAATACACATGCATATAAACAAGGAATTGTATACTCATAATATTTCTTCCCCATTGACAACATCAAAAAGGGGACAAATGAATTAAGAGAGCGAAAGCTCCCCCTATCAATAAGCATAGGTGAGTATAAAACATAAAAGGATATAGGGATTGCTCCCCCTATCAAAATGCCATATGGAGAATATGAAATAAAGATCATGGCAAATATGTGAGCAAGCATAAAAGATATGCTAACAATCACTCACATTCAAGAGATAATGAGAACACATATGAATATATCAATATGAAAAATAGTGTCTCATATCAAGGACCATAAAAACCATGTGTAAAGATAGATTTATGAAATCAAAAGAAAAGGAAAACATGAGAACCATGAAAAAAGTTTTCAAGTGAAAACAAATCACTCAAATGAAATCATAAATCAATATTTGAGTCCAAAAATAATGTTTGATCAAAAGGAAAATTTTCTTTACATAACTTGATCAAACCACTCATAGAATACATTATAAGGCACGAATAGATGATCCATAAGCACAAACACATAAATATCATCATATAAGTGAAATATAATGAATTCAAAGCAATAAATCAAAACAAACTCTTTGACAAAATAATTTCAAGAGAGGCAACAATATATCAAGCTCTTAAGCTTGTTTCAACCCATATAATCATTTTAGCATCCGGTAAACATGATTTGGGAATAAACACCTAATAAATCCGGAGGGTTATATAAATACAAACCTCTCATCAAAATCAAAACTTATAATCATGAAAACAAAGGATTTGATAAAAGAAAAAATTGTTTTCATAACCGAAAGATCTTAAAACATAATTTTCAAAACCAAGACAAAAAAATAAAAACACTAAAGTTCTTGGTTTAAAATCAAATTTGTTTTGGTACCCAAGTATTCTTGGTACCAAAAGATTTAGGGACATGACCCCTATCAATGAAGCTCAAAGCCCTAGGGTTATGAACCCTCTTGGGCACATATGGTGCACTAGCACGGTCAAAATAATATTCATTCAAATGACCCTTTCGATTGCAATTCGTGCAATGAAAAGAGTGAAAAGATTTGTGTTGACCAAGTGAGCGTGCACGAAAATCATTTGCAACTGAAGATTGTCTTTTAAATTTATTTTGCAAATGAGAAACCTTATTAAACAAAGGTGGTTTACTTGAGAAATTTGGCAAGTTTGAACATTTTTTCAAATCATAACAAAACTTAGCCAAATGGCCAAATCTACCACAAACATCACATTTAAAAGTATGTGGTCTACTAGAAACATTTGGCAAATTAGATTTCTTTTTCAAATCAAAACAATATTTGGCCAAATGACCAAAACGACCACAAAGATCTTTGTCAAATGGCCAAACCGACCACAAAGATCACAATGATACACACTAGCATGCTTATGATGAACATTATGTGCATGTGCATGAGTGTATGATGAAGAAGCCTTATGAGATGCACAAGAGGCATTAGTCTTAGAAGATTTGTGTGCATCATAGCAAAATTTAGCAATGTGGCCTTTACGACCGCAAATTGAGCATTTGTAAACTTTGCTATACATATGTGCATAGTGAGCATGTTATTATTTTCCAAACTTAATAACTCATTGTTTTCTTTTAAAATAGCATTCTCTTTAACAACAATATCAAGTTTGGAAGCTAGCGACTCATGATCGGATTTTAAACTAATATGCTTGCTTTTAAGATCAATAAAATTGTTTTGCAATTTTGTATAGGCATGAGATAATCTATCATATGCACAAGCGAGTTCATTGATGGATATATCACTATCGGATTCCGAATCGCTTACCACACTAGGGCTATCGCCTAGTGGCCGTGTGCATGATGATGCTCCACACTCACTTGAAGAACAATCCTCCAAACTACGTCGGATTTCCTCCAAGTTGCCTTGATGTGCTTCTATGAATTTCCATAAATTGTAAGCACTATCAAAATGAACAAATTTGTTAGAAAATGATGAGTCAAAGGCATTAAGCAAATATTCTAACAAAATCTTGTTCATTGAAAACATTTTCTTATCATGATTGCTCCACTTGGATATCTCCAAAGTGGGCACAATATAAGCACAATCAATAACTTCCCATAAGTCGATATTTCTAGATTCAACAAATAGTTTAAATCTAGAAG